CAACCGACTGCTAATGTTATTCGACCACTCCCTTTCGGTATTTTTTTTTTTTCCCTTTTTTTTTTTTTTTTTTTTTTTTTTTTTTTTTTTTTATTTGTATTCGTAATGGGCCTCGCTCAATAGCTATCCCATTGTATAAAATACGTATATACCTACATAATACACAGACCGAACGCTACGGGAGCGCCATTTCACGAATCGCAGTGATAATTTATCGTCCGTGCGATATCCGCGAATCGCATCGAATATCGGAATTATCATTTTTTTTTTTTTTTTCCCTCGATTTCCCGGAATTAATTTATGATAATTTTCTTTGACAATAAAAACGATAAATTTTTAACACTCTTTCCGGAGAATTTATCTCTGAAATTTTATATTGTATTATAATTATTCGTACTGAACAATGAAGTTTATTCGAGCGAGTGAGAATATTGTCGTTTCCAGAATAATTGTTGTTCTATACATTAAATATGCAAAATACTTCATAATGAGCATCTATATAGTAGATGCTCGATAATACATAAGTATACTGATTTTCAGATAGATACGAGTATTGTAATATAAGATACCCGATGCATCAAAATTGTTTACGCGTGCAGTATCTAAAAGATTCGATAGTTATCTTAATTTGAAACATTTTCTGAAGTTCCACCAATAGTTATCTTCGTTTCACCTTACCAACACTTACAATATATCGTATAATATGTTTTTCGAAAACCCTGGGGGAATGACCCGGCTTGCCTCACACTCCATTCGGGCGGCTACGGATAAGAAACTTCAAAATTAGTAGGTAACTAGATACATTGATTTCAGTATCACAATACAAGATATTCGATACTATTTCAAGAACTCTATCGCGATACAATTATTCGACTGATACAAGATACTTTCCGACCCAGCATAAATGTGTACATCCGTGAATCAATTCTTCTCGTTCTCGTCGATAAAACAATATAAAAATGAGAGACAATTTTATAACCGTTTATTTTTGCATTACATTAAAACACAAATTTGAACGTAAGATTATCGTGAAATACCTGTGTACTTTTTGTTCCTATCGATTTTTATTTATCTATACGTTTTTCTTATTAGCAATATCATTTTTTATTTGGTTTGTAAGTTATTATGCCGCGGCCGTTTCGTATTGTTTCGTTCGGTTGTATTTTGCGTCAACTTTGGTCTACTTAAATAATTTCGAGGTAAACTTAATCACCATAATCCTAATGTCAAAAAATGTTAACACAATAAACCCTGATAATCCCTATTCACGTCGTTGTGGCTGACCATTTCGTCCAATACAATCGGCGACAAAGACATTAATGTCTCCGGTCTGTACCCAGCAAGTTGTTCACATATGCCCGGATCAGTGGCGTATTTGAGGGGAGGGGGAGCGATGGGTGGTTCGCTCCCTCCTTGGAATTTTTTGACTGTGATTTTTCAATCACGGCTATAAACTATAGGCAATAAAATAATATAGTATTTATAACTGAGTTATTTATTATTTCTTGGGTATTTTTATCAGCGTTATCAAAAAGTAGTGATAATGTATAATTAGGGCAATTTTTTGTCTATAATATACACATAGAGATATCGATGTGGATGTCCAAACAGTAGTCATCATAGATTAGTTTATAGGAGAAAAAAAGATTAACATTACTCTAAAACTGTTTGATTTGAATATTTAATACATGTATATTATGCTACGGCCGTTAAGGGTAAAATTCCCGAATAGTATAAGAGTTCAATCAGTTTATTAATTTATACGTTTTAACGATGGCTACATTAATATAAGTATAACTTTAGCAACAAAAATCATGAATCATGACGAACAGATGGACGGATACAAAAAACATAATATATACACGTAGTCCATTATTATACCACAATTATACGTAACTTAACGGATAACTGTAAAGAACGATAAATCATTGCTAAGGAAAATCGATTCTGAGCGTAATTCAATTGATAGTGATGCTTTACCAAAAATATATATTTCATATTATGGTAAAATAATTAAATAAGTGTTATATATTTTCCATAATAATATTTGTTTAATATTGAACCGATTTTTCCGTTTTTTCTGCGTTTTTGTCGGTTTTCCCATGTTTTTTCCTAGTTCTTTTAGTTTGTTGGGAAAACTTCTGGAAAAATCGAAAAAAAACCCTCCTTAAAGTACCTTCCCAGTCAGATTTCGTTTCAGAAAAAGTGCTATCATTTTAAATTAGAGCAAAATTACTGGTAGAAAAGTTTGCACAACACAGGGGTATTTTGTGATTAAGTAGTCCGAGCGAGCGATGGCTTGGGTCTCTAGAGTTTAAGTACACCCAAAATGCATTTATTTTTTCCTTGTTCAAGTTAAAGAGAAAATAAAAATGCAAAATATTTTTTTCGAAACCCGGGTTCGACCCCTAGGATGATAATTACAAATAGGCATGTATAATTACATCATGACAAATATTCTATAAGAAAAAAAAATATAGAGTTATTTAACATTACATATAATATCAAAACTTCAAAAAGTTATGATTTCGAAACTTAGTCAATCCGTTTAATTCTGATTTCACCATCGTTCTTAAATCGGCAATATACATATGTTCAAAGCAATAAGTTGAAAAATTAGATTTGCTCCACAAAATTTTTTACTCAAACGAGTTTCGTCAAAATTTGATATTAAAATTTGTTTATAAAAAAAATACTACATTAAATTCAATTTCTTTTTTTTACCACAAAGTAAGACTTTTAATGCACTTATTGTTAAATTTTTACGCATTTCGGTTAAGTCTAACAATTTTATCATACAGTACTTACCGAAGAAAAATTACGTACAAAACTCACAAAATTAAAATGTCCATAATTAGCCTTAAAATGGCTTAAATTTTTTGAACATTTTACCACTGTTAAAAAAGGCAAACATTTTAGTATTTCTGTCCAGATTTCACGTTCCTACGAATATTTTCAACTGAATTAAAACAAATTAACTATATTGATAAATAATAAAATAATTTTATTATTTTCGCGAATTTCCTGTTTTTCTTACGTTTTATCCTGGTTTTTGTCAGATATTATGAAAACCGCTTGGAAGATCAAAAAAAAATCTTCCCAAATATACTATCTGGACAACATTTCCTTTCAGAAATGGTGCCACATGTATATATCTGAACAAGATTTCTAGAAGAAATTTTTGTACATAGGATAAAAAAAAAAAAAACATCTAAATAAAATATAATACATTCTTGGCTAGACTCAGAATCTAAAATTTAATAGGTACTTAAATAAAAATATAATATGATTTATATTTATAAATAAATGATTTTATTAAAAACTAACACATTGCGTTAAATTTACCTCCTAATCCTAAATAAGTTTAAGTATTTTTTTTTCTAATTATAATAGTATCTCAATACACAAGTAGTATTGTGTAGCAGAATTTTTTTATATTAAAAATAAAATAGGGGCTACTCG